AATTTATTTGATGACTAAATAAAAATCTAACATTGTTATGACTTTATACAAATTATTTTATTAATCTATAGTTTAGTACTACTTATATATATATATATATATATATTAAAATAAATTAAAATTTCATTTTTGAATTAGCAATTTCACGTCCAAGTAACATTCCATGGCCTCTCCGATATCAAGAAGAATTAAAAAAATGTGGAGATCCTTCTAAAATTATAAAAATGGATTCAGAACGAGCATTGCTAACTTTTTTCCTTGCTAAGTTGTCCAAAATTGATCCAGATATGATAATTGGACATGATATATGTAGTTACATATTATCAACTCTTGTAAGTCGTTTAGAAGCAAATAAAATACAAAATTGGTCAAAAATTGGTCGTCTTCGTAGAACTTTATTTCCCAAAAAAGTAATTATAAAATTTATTTATACATATATCAACTTGTTATTTACTAGTATTGATTTTTAGGGGAAATTTATGAGTGAAAAAAGTGTGCTCAGTGGCAGGTTGATTTGTGATACTCAAATTTCTGCAAAAGAATTGATTAAAGCAAGAAGTTATGATTTATACTCGTTATCTGAACAGGTATGTTGTATTGCTTAGTAAATAAAGAACTAATTATTAGCTATTAATTTTACATTAATTTACGTTTTTTCTATAAAACTCTGTTGGAACATTAAAATATTCACAAAACATCTCCTTAGATTTAAAATAATTATTAATTGTAGTTAAGTGATTCATTACTTATGTTAGTCAAATAAATAATAATAATGATTTCAAGTCCAAAATAACATAAATATATTTTAGACATTAAAATTATAATTTTAATTTTTACTCAAATATTTAAAGATAACTTATTCATTTTAACCATATTTTGAAAACTTTGATGTTTTAAAGTGTTAAGACTCATTTTTATCTTTTGCTATTTATATTTATAATGTCGTGCACCAATATGATATTGTTTTGTAACAAGTTTTCTTATTATCAATCTTAATTTAACTTAGCTAGAAGTACTAGTAACTATGCGATAATTTAAGCGACATTGCTATGGTTAAGAAACAATTAAAAATTAAAATATTTGAAATAACACCATATTATGTACATTAAGTACTAATTTCACTTTGGTCAAAATCATTTTTAAAATTTGATGACTTATAATTAATATACCACTTGTAATAACCTTGCATAAGAGTAAAGTTGAACCGACAAATTTCAAACATCTCACTCTGTTTATTTCTATGCTCTGTTCTTATATTATTATTAATTCATTTGTAGATTCTCGATGTCAAAGAAAACGAACAGTTTAATTTATCTGATGATGAAGTTAGTTATATGTATTGGTATGTTTCTAGGATATATTTTTTTTTTAACATAACTAGAGACTAGAAAGTATAATAATATTTATTTACAGTTCGGCTGTTTCTTTAATGCAGCTTATAAAATTTACAATTATGGATACCTCATGCATAATGCGACTTATGTGTCAAATGAATGTATTGCCTTTAGCACTTCAAATAACTAAAATTGCAGGAAATTTACTATCCAGAACCCTTATTGGTGGTCGTGCAGAAAGGAATGAGTTTCTATTATTGCATGCCTTTAATGAAAAAGGTTACATACTTCCCGATAAGCAGTATAAAAAAAGATTAATGAATAAAGTAAATTTTTTTTATAAGTTAAACATATGTTATTTTTGAATATTATAAACATTTAATTAGAATGAAGATAATATAGAAGAAGAGAGTACTAAAAAAAATGGCCGTAAAAAAGCTCAATATTTAGGAGGTCTTGTACTTGATCCTAAAATTGGTTTTTATGACAAAATGATATTGTTGATGGATTTCAATTCACTTTATCCGAGTATAATTCAGGAGTACAATATTTGCTTCACAACAGTTAGCTTTCGAACATTGCTTGCTGAAGAGGTTGGTACAAATTACGTTATTAAGTATTATGTTTAATATATTAACTAATTATCTTTTAAATTAGGGTGATGATGAAATAGCTGAATTATTAAAGTTAACACCAAATCAATCTGTTGCTCGTGGAATTTTACCTGCTGAAATTAAGTCATTGGTAGATTCGCGAAGAGAAGTAAAGAAGTTAATGAATGATCCAAAAATATCGGCTACTCTTAAAGAGCAGGTGATCTAGTTTATTTTTATTGTCAAACTATTTCAAGYTTAATTTTTACATAATATTTAACAATAATGCTGTCAGACTTAATTATTTGATAATTTAGATTTTAGTTTTATTAATATGGTCATCAAGTGTATTTTATAAAAATTAAAAGTGTATTGATCATATACACAATAATGATAAGTTTCTTAAGTTTGGAGTTATTCAATTAATAGTTTCAATAAAATTKAAATAAAAGAGGATATTTAGATTGTATTTTTGGCTATTAAATTAAAGACTAAAATGTAAATAAAATATGAATATTAGGTATGTTTTAAAAAATATTTTGTGTTTTTATTTTTGTTATAGTATAATTTGAGGCAAACTGCACTTAAACTTACTGCCAATAGTATGTATGGATGTTTAGGTTTTACTCATTCCCGTTTTTATGCTAAGCCATTGGCTGCATTGATTACTGCAAAAGGAAGAGAAATATTAATCAGTACTAAAGCATTGGTTGAGAAACTATCATTTGATGTTATTTATGGAGATACAGATTCATTAATGATCAACTCAAACTGTGTTGACTATGATCAAGTTATGAAAATTGGGTATAAAGTGTGTAATTCATAYAATTTACTTTTTTCATTTTTAAATATGTATTATTTGATGTTAGATTAAAGCTGAAGTCAATAAAATGTACAAACAAGTGGAATTAGATATTGATGGAATTTTCAAATACATGTTGTTATTAAAAAAAAAAAAGTATGCCGCTATTTCTATATCAAAACTTCCCTCAGGTGAATTTATAACTAAAGAAGAGATTAAAGGTTTGGATATTGTAAGAAGGGATTGGTCACAATTATCACAAGAAGCTGGACGGTAAAATTAATATTTTTATTCATTTATACTAATAAAAAACATAGTTGCAAAGTGCTAAGTAAACAATTTATTTTTATAGATTTGTCTTAAGACAAATATTATCTGATCAGTCTCCTGAAGAAAGAGTATCAAATATTTGTGCTCAATTGGAAAAACTTAAAGCTGATTGTGAAGGAAATAATGTTCCRTTAGGACTTTTGGCCATTAGTAAAACATTAACTAAAGCACCTCAAGATTACTCTGATTCTAAAGCATTGCCACATGTAGCCATTGCTCAACGTCTCAACAAACAAAGTATTAAATTTAGACAAGGTGATACTGTATCATATGTGGTTTGTGAAGTAAGTTAACTTTTATATTTTTAATGATAAATAGATTGAGAAACGGTAGTTTAAAATATCTGTTACAATTAATAGGATGGAACAAATTTAGCATCAAATCAAAGAGTTTATCATGTGGACGAGCTAAAAAACAATACTTCTTTAAAAATTGATTTCAAGTATTATTTATCACAGCAAATACATCCAGTCATAATGAGATTATGTGCACCATTAGAAAACATTGATGCTAAAATGATAGCTGAATGTTTAGGTTTGGTTATAGCTATCTCATGGTTATGCAAAATTTAATTTTTTTTTTTTTTAATAGGTCTTGATCCCACACAGTACCAAAATCAAAGCACAAAAACCGTTTATGAAAATTCAATAGAAGAAAATACAATTGATTTGGATGATGCAACAAGATTTAGTAGTTGTGATCCGTAAGTACCATTCTTAATGTATATTTCAATTTCAATATTATTTTATTTTGAATTAATTAAAATTTTCAATCATAAATCTAGGTTTAAATTCAAATGCCTTGGCTGTAAAACCGAAGTTGAAATTTTTGCACCAGCAATTAAAAAGGTATTGTTTAAATAAAATTTTTCTCATTCAAAAATGTAGTTTTAATTGATTTGATTCATTATTTCAGGCTAATGGTAAATTAGAATTTACTTTAGAAAATTGTTCTAATTCAGAATGTTATATTTCGCCATATAAATATATTGGGATGWTGGAAAATACTTTATGGTCAGCTATAAGAAAGCATACAATAAAGTTTTATAAGGTAATTAATTGTTAGCATTATATTTGATGATATTCTAWGTCACTATATTCWGTATATTCACAGTGAAGCATCTCATTTGTAAACGTTAGGGAATGTGGACATTATTTAAACATTAAGATTGTCACAATAAAATTACTAACACTAAATGATTATGACATAAATATTAATTATCTTGATATCCAATGTTTCATCTAATTTGTTAATTAGTAATTTAAACATTTATCCTTTATGAATTTCAAACATTTACTTTTTTGAGTAGCAGACAGCATTTCAGTGACTGGTAGTGTTTTTTATTCAGAGGTTTTATTGTATATGACAGGTATGACTGTTTGCGCTTCGCTCAATTATAATTTATTTTAATTTTTTTTAGAGTCAATATGTATGTGATGAAAGTACTTGTGATTATAAAAGCAAATATATTCCGCGAACAAGTGATGAAATTTGTGTACAATGTGAATCAGGAACCTTAAAAAAAGAAGTAAGAATCTCAGTTAATATTTTATTACATTTCTTGTTTGTAGTTTCATGTATTTATTATTTAAAACATATTCAATTATCATAATCTTGGTAACTTGTAATTACCATATCATTCCCACTCTTAGCATGTTATTTAATACAGTTAACTCGGCTTTCTGTGGAACTATCTRCTGTATCAAAAATAGTATTTAACTAATTTAACATACATTTTTATATTTTTAGTATTCAGTCGGTCAATTATTGTTCCAATTAAGATATTACCTGTTTTTATTTGACATTGACAAAGTATTGCTCAGAAACAAGGAAATACAATTGGATATTGAGGATCCATTATATAAAGCTTATAGTAGATTAAAAGCTAAAGTTCAAAAAGTACTTAAACATCATGATTTCTACTATGTTAACTTAAAACAAATATTTGGCCAATGTTAAACAATATTACATTTTGTATAATACATTATTATTTACCTATTTTATTAAATTAGTATCATTATTATATTTATTATTATTATTTTACTTCTATCATAAGCCCCAAAAACCCATTTAATATGCTTATCATCATGCAATTTTTATATATTTTCAAGCAAAAAATTGTACAATACACATTTTTATCTGAGTAATAAGTTATATACAGTGTTTATATTTTTACAAAAAATATATTAATTTAAATAACAAAATATTTAAACCGTTATACTAATTTTATTATATCTAGTTGCTTTATTTGCCTAAGCACACACTTTTGATTTAATTCCTTTTATCATACCAGGCTGGTTGATCATCTAGCTGATGATTGGCTTTCCGTAATTTAATAACTATGATTTTATGAATTTCAACATTAAGATAACAATTATGTAACATTAAGGATTATCTACTATAATTTGTCTTKCATTAGAGTAATCCCAGGCAGTGACCAATTTTAGTCAGGTACAATACCACTCGATAAAATCTAGATGGTTGTTTGAATAATAATAACTTTTAGTGAGCTTCCAGAAGTGTTCAGTTAACGATATCAATTACCGTTTCTGAGGTAATTTTTATAGAAAGGTTATGTTACCAACCCTTGTTGATCTATTTTGAATGATTGTCTCCCAGATTTGAGATTTATTGGCCCTGATTCTTAAATAACAATATAGAGGTCATCAAAAATAACAACTGCACATGAACATCCAAACAAATCTATTATTATTAATTATATAAAACACAGATCAATGATATTAATGCAAAAAGATCTTCAACAAGTATAATCTAAATAAAAAAAAAGTAACAAATTTATCTTAACTTAATATTTGATTCAACTCATCTGCAATTCTTACATCCTGTAAAATAACAACAATAAAACATAACCCATAGAAAAACCAAAAATCGATAGATTATATTATAATAGAGTAACTATTAAAAACAAACCGTTTTGATAATTTTTTTTTTCAATAATAATCCGTTTTTTCTAAAWCGTTTGGCAACAAATGGTGTAAACAGATCTGGATTATGACAACGTTCTTCTTTGAAAATTGAACTAACCACGAGTGCAACAAAGAATGTTACTATAAACCCAAGAACTATACAATACATGTAACTAATGCGATGCCAATAAGAGTAATCATCATTTTCTGACCTTAAAAAATCAAATTTGATTTCAATAACAAATCAATATACAATAATAAATCTAACAATTGTTATAATTACACATTATGCACCAACGAAGATTGTTGAAGGGTTTGATTTAGCACCGTAGGACATGCATTTATGTACGTGGGCAAATTTTTGGCTATAGGTCTACCAAATCCAATTGAAAATGAAAATATCAAACCAATCACAAGACCAGTCAATGAACCCTAAAATAATAAAATAACGCTTACYTGAAGTTTGTTATGTAATAATAAAATAGTATAAGTAAAATACTTTTTGGTTAACATGAGGTAATAGTATTCCCAGTGTGAATACTGCTAATACTGGTCCACCAATCACTCCAAATATGACTAATGAAGTTTGTAGTATTGAGCCCAAATATTGACTCAAAAAAGCTAATATCAAACAAATTCCACCATAGGCAAGGACTAATATTTTCATATAAAATACTCGTGTTTTATCAGTAATATCTTTTTTCATAAAAGGCTAAATATATTATAAAACAGTAAATTATTATTTTAATATGCACAACAATTGATAAAATTAGTAATTCAAAATGTTTACCTTAAGATAATCTTCCATTGTAACAGCGGCTAAAGAGTTAAGCACTGGTGAAACAGAACTTAATGCAGCTGAAAATATACCAGCAACAAATAATCCAGTCAACCCTGGAATTGATCCCATAGTATCCGATACATACAAAGGCATCAACTGATCTACGCTTGATATACGCTTTGACCTTTGAACATATTTCTATTACAATGTTGTTCTAAACTTATAAAACAATATTTAATACTTTATTGGGTCACAGTCATAGTACTTTGAAAACATTGCCAACCCAGAAAAACTTGTTGAAATAGATAGCAATGACAAAAGGGGTAAGCTACACCATAAAGATTTAACTGCTGTATTGTAGTCTTTCATAGTTAAATACCTCTGTACTTGTGTTTGATTTATTGCATACAATGAAACATAGGTAAACATACCACCAATCACCAAACTAAACCAACTATGTCTTTCAGTGGGATCTATGTTAAAACTAAAATACATTTTACAATTTTAGAAAAATATATTCTTTAGAACTGTGTAACAAGGACATAACTTTTATTTATGTTCAATATATATTTTGATATTCTATTTTCTATCTAAGTTATAAATTAAAAGTACTTATTAAATTCAATTCGTCCATATTTATCAGCAATCTTCCAAATTTGTGATATTCCACCAGTTTCATACATAGCAACTCCAATTACAGCAAATATTGAAGCAAACATTAGTAATGACTAAAATTTTAATTGAAACAAATTAAGTTTGGCATTAAAATAAACTTTACAACTAAGCAGAGTTCTTGTTAAGATGCTAACTCATGTAGGTAGTCATTTTATTTTATATATGAATAAATTTAAATTTACATACATAATGAACATATGTGACAGGCTAGTGTGGATTTGGATTTAACTGAATATTAAATCCAATATGACTTTATGGTAAMTGTATATTTAGTGAATTGTGGAAAAAAATCCCTAGTATAAAAATTGTTAAATTGTTATACATGATTAATTTTAATTTTAATAATAAAATAAAATATAGAAGGTAAAATATATGGTATAGATGGTAGTATTAATTGCATATAAGAATTGGGAGATATTTAGATACACTATATTATGAGATGATAAACTTKTTATTACTATTTGGACTAAAGACATAGCCATATATTTATAATATAAAATAAAATGAAACTTCTACAACATTTGAAATGTATAATATWATATTATATTTTAAGACTTAAACAAATACCTGTTTAAAAATATTATTTTTAAATGCTATTAATTTCGAAATAGTAAATATATGGAGTAAAAAAAAGTATTTAAAAATTAAATACATATAGGTATCTTGGTGAAAATATTTCAAATATTATGTTAAAATAAATCATTCATTTTTATTTTGAATTATTATATTTCATAATACCGTTGAATTATTAAGTACACATCCAAAAAGATCATCATTATGACATTACTACAACAATTGTAAGCATATTAATTACAGAAATTTAATTAATTTTTATACTAAGGCTTTTTTTCCAAATACTACATGTTGTAAGTATTAAATGTTTGTTGACTCGAAACAGATCACTACACCCCAAAATAATTAATAAATATGAATGGACCAAAAACTTAAATTTATAAAACTATTACAACAGTCCATATATGCATAATGTTATAAATGGAATAGTTCATAAGTTCAATAAAATATTACATAGCACAGTTAACAAAATATAGTCGACTATGATAACATTGATTGAATAATAATTACTTGAAATACGTCTGTAATAATGACTGCTTTAATTCCTCCAATCGTCGAATAGAATATACATACTAAACCAACTAGTGTAATAGAAGAGGTTAAGGTTAATCCAGTTATAGCTCCTAAAGCCAATGATGGTGCATATAAAACTATTGCCATGTATAATATCATTTGAGTGCTAAATGCTATAGATGTAACAGTCCTTGTCCATCGACCAAATCTTTTTTCCAAATACTGTAAATATAAAATACTTGTCATAAGTACTTACTCAAATAAATAATATTAATTCTACAAGTACTGTACTACTTAATATCTAGTAAGTATAATAAATATGGACAATAAATTGTAAATAAATAAAATAAAAAAATGATCAAGGTGCTTTACTTTTAACAACAACATTACTTCTTACTTCATAAACTGATAAATTTCCAAGTTTGAAGAATACAGGTAAAAATACATATGCAATTATTGGAGTTCCCAAGATGTAAGCTACATTAATGGCAACAAATTGTGTACCATGATAATAGTTTTCYGCACTCACGCCGAATAATGTTATGGCAGACATAAAACTGGCCATCAACGAAAATGCAACTGGTAAAATACCTTGATTTTTGTTACCCAGCATGTATTCCTTGAAAAATTGCATTTTAAAAATAATAAAAATTTAATAAATYAATAATTCAAATAAAAAACTTACCTGTGTTGTTTTCTGTTTACCCCCAGTAAATCTGTAGTAAATGCCTATTGATGCAGACATTACCAACATAATTGCAAACACGATATAATCAACAACACCGAACGCCATTGCGATCCCGTTATAATGCTATCGTTACAAATAGGTACCTGAAATCACCAAAAAGTTAATAAAATAAATGGTAACTACTGATATAAACATTTATTAATTTTGTACCTAACAATTTAATAATGTAAATTCAGTTTAATAGGTCATTGCCAAATTCCATTATAGCATTATCCATTATGATATAAATTATTGTAAGCAGAAGAGAATATAAATAAGAACCTATCACACACTATTATTTAACCAACAATAAATATAATATTATGTTAGAAATATTAAATACACGCCATATCCTGTTCCAGAATCTAAACAATATTATCTAGATTTATCTTRAAATAATAATTCTCACTGTGCGTCAGTCAAATCTATTTAATTATTGCTTACTTTTTATGATTGAGTGAACTGTCATCACATAGCCGACGACCGACGTTATTAGTATGAACTAACGACATATAATTCAAAATTAATATTAAGGAGATAAAAATAATAATATTCTAATCTGCAGTAGACCGAAGATTATATTTCATTAATAAAGTTTAAAGTCGTAACACTTAAAAAATAGTATGATGAACACATTAATACAAATCATGAAATTTTTGATTTTGTAGTCATTGCCACTGCATGTCATATTGTCATGTGACATCTCACATTGTGTCACATGATTCATCCATATTGTATTAATGATCATGCGATTAYAACAATGTCGATCGCGATATTATTTGTAGCTATCTTGCTATCTAAACATTCCAAAATCCAAACAGTCGATAGGTATACTCGATGACAATATGCGAATAATATTATAATAATTGCCAAAGATTAGAAGTTCAGACTGACAAATGAGTTCATCTCATGTTTTATTGTACGTAGTGCTAATAAGTTATTATAACTACCTAATTAGAACTTAGAAGTTATAACCTGTATGACAATAATAATTATAATGTATTTTAATTTAATTATAATATTATATCAGTGAAGTTCCCGTCCTCGACGATTTGCGATTATGGTCTGCAGTAAGTCGTGGATAAACGTTTATCTTTATCAGTACCTAATCTCGCGATTACCACATTTTGCCGACACATCTGTTGCCGACTGCCGTTGACAATATCGCTATAGTCGACATTTTGATTTTTACAGTTGTTATATTATTCTACTATTATTGTGGTCGTACTGATTGTACAATCCAAGATAATTATAATATATTATAAATACCTTGGTACAATCGATCACTCGATTTACAATAATTTGTAAGAATGACGACATCACATATCGAAATATCGTGAAAATAAAAACAACGTGGACAGCAGCTGCACATCAAGCCGTCTGTGGGCTTGTGACTTGGATTCGTCGTAAACATTATATGGAATAATCAACGAAATCATAAAAAATTAAAATTAACAATTTTATGGACGTACCTCAGATAAGCGGCGCCATTTGAGTTTGAGTTTTTGTTTTTTTTTATAGGGGTTCGGCGGATGCCAAGATTCGAACGGGCCAATTTTTTTTCATAGCCACGCCATACTTAATTTTTTGTCAAAACTATTTTAAAGATGACTATCAGAAATAGCTACTGTCATTATACATTTATGTTTATAAATRTAAATGCATCAATAGAGCAGGTATAGCCGGTATAGGTAGGTACATTATGTTATGTAGGTACCTATGCATAAATAGTAAGCATAAAGCTTACTTCCATACTTACAATCTGTTATAATTTTTTTTTTTTTATCAGAATAAGCCTCGGCAGCGGTGGCCATTGGCTGACATTGTTTACATTGATTTTATGTAATTTTTTACATAGGTAGATAGTTCTGTTTTTACACATTATTTTATACTATTTGTTTACAATAAATTTTCAATTTCAGTTTCTTTTATGAAGTTTAGTGTCTGTTTGATGGCTGATACGTTTGGACCTAATGATTGGTATAGAAATTCTGGGATGTTGTGTTTGGTTCTTGCATCTTCTGTTTGTCTGCATTCGACGAGTATTATGTTTTATTGCCAATTGAACTCCGCATGTTGTGCACGTGGGTTGTTCTTCTTTGCTCATTAGGTAACCGTGTGTGAAGCGAGTATGTCCTATTCTTAGACGTGTTAATAATACTTCTTCTTTTCTGTTAAGATTTGCTATGTTTTTCCAACGTTCTATAGTTTGTTTTATTTCGTTAAGTTATTATAATAATATATTATACGCATTATTGTTTTCATAATATATTACGAAAGGCCATCGGCGAATTGTAAATAATTATATGGCTGCCGCCGGCTGGTCAGTGGTCAACAAGACGATACAGGAAAAATTCGAGTTGCCAAAGACATCCTTCCGGCTTCCTGCGTTCACCCTCGCTCACCTATCCCTTCTGAAATGGCGCCACTGGATATTAAGATCAAAGAACAGCAAGACCCATTCTAAATATGTCTTGCAACAGTAATTGTAACGAGCCTACACAATTTTATCAGTTGTGTATATTTTATACTGCGTCATCAGGTAAATTTACACTCATTTAACAAGAATATTTATATTTTATTCCTAATATTCAATATAATATGCACTGACTTTCAGATTTATCGATAATATCTAAGACGCATAATAGTTCAATTATTTTTTTTTTTTTTTATATATAATCTTTTGTATATAACTTTTGCGGACCCTTTCCCATTTCCTCCGCTCATTTTAAGAAAAAATACTGGAAAGTCAAATTACGTTTTTATGAGTGCTTAAAGTTCAAAATTTTATAACATTGCACGGTGGCGTGCGCAGGAATTTGGTATGGGGGGGATGTCATAAATAAAAATGTATTATGTTTATGTTGATGAACTAGAGATCCAAAATCCACTCGTTAGAAGACTAAAAAAAAGCCCATGGGGGGGGATATATCCCCCATCATCCCCCCCCTGCGCACGCCACTGACATTGTATAATATTCTATAACTATCACTTGATTTCTCATGGTACGATTTTCCATTTTATTGCAATTCAAAAACAAATAACTGTATAAATTTTAGATAATTTAAATTTACACCAAATATTTATTTTATCATTTTGATGTTTGATCTGTTAATCTAATACTACTATGTGTTATAGTACATTATGCGTTTGTAATTTATAAATATTTTAATTCAATCTATAGATTATTACACCCCCACTTCGTTTATTTTGTCCAAGTGCATGGATTTTGTGATTTATTTTTGTAGATCCATTCATAACAATATATGCTAAATGACAGATCACGGGGTTATATATTATGGACGCAATATAAACGGCAGATTAGATTTATTCAAATATCTAAATAACATTACAATAATTTATTGTTATTTACAAGTTTTGAAAACTATAAGTGCGTTTATACCGATCAGTGTGAGACAGTGATCGATAATAATTATAGGTATCGACAATTTGAATGTCAATAAAGCCATCCCGCCAATTATTCATAAATCTTTTTTTAATCAATTATACTTGAGCATATTTGAGGTTGAATATATTTTGATGTTTTGATAGGACTAATTACCTTAAAGACTAAAGTACCTACTTACACTGGATACGCCTATATCAGTATTTGCTATTTGCTAGTAAACAACCACGGGATGCCAGGAATACATAAAAAATTATGTAGGTTCACATTTTCAATTTTCCCGCGTTGTTCCAAATTTTACTTTTAAAGAAAAATATTTTAAGATATTTCACTCTATATTTGATCTTGGACGAATTAAAAATCTAGTTATATTTCTTTAGAATTATATACATGTATAACTTTTCGGAGAAATTATTTTGTTGGAACATAGTTGTTAACACAGTTATTTGTCCATTCATATACTCTATAAGAAAATATTGTATTATTTAGTTGATAATGATATTGTGTTTATCATTTTTTATTTATAAATGTATATTTGATATCTGAAAATAATTTAGCAGGAAATTATATCTTATAAATATATATTATTGATGGTTTGATCGTTACTAAATTTCATAATTTATTCTTAAAATATAAAATATAAATCACAATACATATTTTCGGGTTACAATAATCAGAAACGACAATAATAAAAATCACGAAGACTTAATGTATTATACTTGAACGTTATAGTAATATATACGATATGTCGATATACCTAATTAGTTTCTGTGTTAGTAGATTTTTAAGTGGGGATAACTTTTTTAATTTCAATACAATTACTCAGCATCATTCATTACTTATACACTAACTGCAGACTGCAGGTTAAATTGAAATAAATATTAATTATAATGCAATCGTACTATTTATAACGATATGTAGCCATGTAGGTATTTATGTTCATGTCATTTCGTAAGGGCTATACATATGTTAATATATATTTAATACAGACGTCTGTTGCCTGCAAGTCTAATAGTCTATCTGAATATCTGATCTCTAAAAATATACGACTCAATATAAAATACAAATGTTTACAATAGTTTGCTTGTTGTAGGTAGGTACTACAGTAAGAAATAAGGACATTGTGTAAAAACGTATCTATTTATTTTTATTCAAATGTAAAACAATGTATCATGTGATTCAGTGATTCGATAAAATAATAACTAATAAATGAACATGATAATGTACTAATATAAATTATAATATAAGATGCGTAACTCAACGCGAGTTAAAGTACCCCTGACCAAATTGTATAGGATTATCCTTTATCCATTTACCTAAATCCACTTACTAGTTACTTTCCCAGTCAATCTTTTTTTTTTGTACCCATTATATTATAAAGTAATATTAAAAAAGCAGAGAAGTGAGTAACGCTCTGCTGTACGTTACATTTACTTTAAACAATCACTGCAGTAATGGAAGTAATATTAATTTGAATTCAACTGTACGAAATCAATGTATGAGAAACCGATTCTGGGCGAGGCTGTCTATCAGTCTATAATATTACTAAATAAGTATATTTTATGACATAATTGTGATTAAAATAATTTATTTTACTATTATTAATACTAAAGTAGTTAAAATTTATTTTTGTCGAAAAAAATTGAATTTGAAAATGTCATCACATGTATAAAATATAATAAAATTACCAATACCTACTTCAAGTACCTACCCACGAATAATATTTTTAAAGAATTTTGATCAACGAAACAAAACTGTCATTTTTAGATTTTTGGTTACAGAATGAACTACACTTACGTAGAATCTTGTATTCAATTTTACAATCTTAGAAATAAAAAGAAATTTTTTTATGGATTTGGCACTTAATTCAAAACCAAGTCTTAACCTTAAATTAAATTAAATGATTACCTATTATTTGTGATCATATAGTTTTGCTGAACTCAAATATTTTTCTGCATTGTACATTTGTTAAACAGTGACATCACGAGAGGCCAGGGGGAACGTCCTCTTGATGAAAATTGTTATTCAATTAAACTTTATAGTCTAAAGTCTTATATAGATAACTACATTCTAAAAATATTATAATAGTCTATACGAGAAAAGTGAGTGAACTGTCAACTGATGAAGTGACACGGTACAATATCAAAATATGTGGGTAGGTAGAGTTGATAATTTATTCTGGCACGCCGGTTTGATCTAATCTGTAATAGAGAATAGAGGTAGAATATCTACCACAAATTCAAATTACAATGTAGTAGGTATTTTATTTAAATTTCTCATTTGAATATTTGATAATAATTACCTACTAAACCTGCATATACATTCAGTTACCGACACGCACCGCAATTATATATTAAATAGAACAAAATGTCATAATCACATACCTATACATTATACATACTTTATTTATTTATATTTTATATATTATACTGTTCAAGTGACATTTCGCCATACACCCACCATTTAATATATAACACATATTTAATCGGTACCTATTCGGTATGCTTTAAATGTTAGTCGTCTGGTTTGGAGATTGCAATAATTGTAATTTTGTGCGTTTTAAACACGATAAAATTACTTTCTGTCCTACAATATTCGTCAAAGAAGGTGAAATAAATAGCACGATCTCGGGATAAACTTTGGTCAACTTTTCATAAGTTTACATATAAGTATCTGCAGTATTTTAAATATATTAATTTAGAAATAAGTGATTCATAAAAACTGAACGAAATCTATATAATTTGTATTTTATTATATTATTATGAAACAGTATAAACAGTATTTATATTGTAATAATTTATAAGGCATAAATAATAGATCCCCAGCTGGCAGCTATTATAGTAAATTATAATATGAAATATACGATACTTCATTCTTTATCTATACGAGCCAGCAATTATTTTGGAGGAATAAACGTATTATAGCAATATAGCGTATAATTTAATTTAATTTATTTTTTAAACATCATTTAAATATAGCCCATTTCACAATTATTGTTAAACCATTGTGAACTATTAACTTCCAACAAGCAGCCAACCTATTAATCATGCACAAAAAAATTAATAGAAATTAAATATCCGTATAGCTGTCATACCTATATTGGCTATTAGTCCAATATATTTCGAGCATCCCGTTGTTGTTATGTAGGTTATTCAGTGGCGTATATTCATATATAAACTAAGGAGGCCTAGTGAGCTGAAGCTCCCCCCGAAATTAGAATAATTACTAATTACTGTTAAATAATTTATATAGTAGTCTCTAGGTGCCTGATAATTTGTTAGTTGCTATATGCCTATATATTAGTATAATTGTACCTCTCCGTTACGTTACCTAAACCTAACCAATAATCTGAACATATATAAATTAGTAATTAATTACTCGTTTGAAATAAGATCTATAGACATCAAAGTAGTTACTTCAGTATTTAGACATGTTATCTTTTAGTTTTCTTAGAATATGAAATTAAAAACGCATTTTTTAATCTATAAAATGAATTATTAAAAAATGCTCATGATAAAAAAATTCGTTTCAAAATCATTGCTTCACAATGACTTCAAAATTCAAATTATATAAAAAAAAAATATTTTAAAAAACTTCAATAATTTTTGAAAGTTGAAATAATATATGTTAAAATAATCACTATATGTATATAGTATGTATTGAAAGTAATTTTTTAATTTTAACAAACAAAAATTACGATTTTTGATAGCAACAACTTCATATATAGGTACTACGCAAATCTACAAAATGCAGTAGTATATAACGTGTAAGCATGACAATGAAGGAGATAAATATAAATTAAACCGAATTTTTTTACAGTTTTCGTATATAAATGTGTATTAATAATTTAAATATAACATATATAAGGAGGAACTGCATATTATAATAGGCAACATTCACATATTTTAGATTTACATACAGTGCACCTATAACTTTTATAACGATATAAATAAAACGTRCAATAACGACTAAGTACAGGTGCCTATATGAAAAATAGTGAAAAGCTTTTAGAATTTACGATATAGGTACATTGATGTGGCAGCGTTCCCTTAAACTATTTTTACATTTAAATACAAACTATAAAATTATGTAGAATAATGGGTTTTCAGTTGATGTCCTGATGAAATATGTCTAAATATATTAAATAAGTATGATTGTGTAGAAAATAGTAGGCCCATCGTGTACATATATAGGTAGGTACAAATGTACAATAAATTATTGGGCGTACAATATTTACAATTTACTAATATACCTATAGTTAATAGATTTAACAACTTTCACCTGTGTATAATGAAGTCCTCCGCGGATGAATGATGATATAGTCCGCTCCTTAAAGTGACGTATTGTGGAAGGAGTCAATAAGGAAACTAGTGCATAATTATATGCATATCATAATAATATTATACCTACATTAAAATATTATTATTATTTTTAATTCAAACCGAAAGATGCCGACACGTATAGTTACACGGGTTGCACTAAATTTACAAATTGACAGTAGTTGTTCATCGTTGTGTAAGACTGGTCGTCTAACTGTATCGCTAATCTCAACACGTCTTCTTTACTCACAGTGGTGTCAGAATTTGTCCCCTACTCCGTAACCAGTAATCGACGTACAGTATTTTGTAACGATGTATTACATTTTGTAATATGATTGACTTGGTGAATAAAAATGGTATCACATGATTTATCTGTAGACGCCGCGCGTTAAATTGTTATTAATAAATTATAATATTATGCAATAATAGGCATAAGGTAAATATTATACATGAGTATATCATTATATACAGGGTGATTCACTAAGCACGCTCACCCACATTTCCCCCTTTAATTTTGATTTTTTTCAAATTTTTAAATGGTTTTGCAGTATTACACACCAGTTTTTTTTTTTATATATCAGAACCTCCTCTTTGTATTGTAAATTTTTATTAAGTGGATAATTTCTTTGAAAATTTTGATGTACCAATTTCAAAATTCTAAGGAATAGTTTCTTAGTTATTATTAAAATATTTGTACTAAGGAGTATAGATTGTATAAGGATAATAGTCCTTAAAAATGGTTTTACAAAAATATAAAACATAATTCTGGAACTAGTATTTACTATACCTACTTGGGTACTGACTACTGTTTCAAGACTGGTTTCCCAACACGGAATTTAACTTTTAACTTAAAAGTTATCAACCTACGGATCGCCCATATCCCATAAAAATAATATGTCACAGTCACAGCAGCCATCCCAGCTCACATATTATGTGTTCTGCCGTTCTGCGGCTCTGCGCCACTGTTTGGGCCATTTTTCCATAATATTATAATTTATAATTTAATAGGTAGGTTTATTTTATTAATGACTAAAATTTATTTTCAAATCACTTGTGTTTTAATTGGTATTAAACAAACGACTTTTGTTCGACAATTTTATCATAACTGTGTACGTACTTGTTTAATAAATAAATTAATATAGACTTTTGAAATTGAAAATAGAAACTATATAGGCGCACAAATTATTTCTGCAAACATTTTAACTTGCACCTCCAAATTATAGTTGCACCACCCAATTTACATAACAACTTAGGTACTGCATGAAATTATTTTCCATGCTGCTATCACACTATTTATTATCAAACTATTTTCATATAATCTGTGCCACAATGTAGAGAACTAGAGAAGTTATTTACTCAATGCCCAATGGTCTGCACTTCTGCAGTCTGTACATCACTACATCATGCCGGGTATAGATGGTATGATAATATTCGATTTATTTGAGATTATGCCATTATATTAACTAATCTAAGTAAATAATTGAAAGTAAGCACTTAGGATTATATATTCAAAAACAAAAATTATTGTCTATTACTCTATAGTACCTACTCCATAGGTTTTTTGTTTTTAAAGTTGTCTCTGTTAGAAAAGATTGGACAGAGGATTAGATTTTAATACAATTTATGTTACTATAATTTTTTCCATGTAGTTTGAAATAATAAGATTGAATGAATTTAAAGTCACACTCACTCTGGAAGTTTACAAAAATGTCTTCTATTCCATTCATCGGTAAGTTATTATTTTATTAAGTATATAAAGTAATATTTAAAGGTTGAACTCTAAAAGAATATTTTTCTATGGCCATGCTTAACTTAAGTTTAGCTATTGGCTCATGGTTGATTTGGTTGAACTCTGGCTTTTGCCAGCTTGTCCATAAATTTTGATTATCACATTTTTTATGGTTCTCTCCATCGATAAACCACTACTAAAAGTCACATTAGGAATTTTAAAATTGTTTGCGAGCCTTCAAAATTGTAGGTGTCGTTAAAAATCTAATATTTTAGATAAAATTTGTCCGCTGGCTGCTATTTGGTGACCCCTAGGCTCTGGCCTATAATATTATAAATAAAAACAAGTTTTTGGTAGATGTTTACTTACTAGATACGTATGATTTAATTTTAGATATTGGAGCTAATTTGACAGATCCCATGTTCAAAGGAATATATAATGGCAAGAAAAAGCATAAAGAAGATTTAGAAGACGTTTTGGAACGTGCTTGGAAAAATGATCTTAAAAAGATCATTATAACTAGTGGCAGCTTAAATGATTGCATTGAAGCTTTAAAGATAGCATCATTGAGTGGTATATTATATTTACCTACGGTATAATTTTATTCATTTTTTAATCTTGACAAGTATTTTAGAAAATCTTTACTGCACTGTTGGTTGTCATCCGACACGTTGTGATGAGTTTACTGAAGCCAAGAGTCCCGAAGCATATTTAAATAGTTTGACAGACTTGATAAAAAATAATCAGTCAAAAGTAGTAGCAATAGGAGAATGTGGACTTGATAATCAACGACTACATTTTTGCTCCAAAGAGATCCAAGAAAAGTTTGTAGCATCAAATTATTGTTGTTAAGTTTTAAATATTTTAGGTTTTATTTGTTTTAGATATTTTGAAATGCAGTTAAAATTAAGTGGAGATTTTAATTTACCATTGTTTTTACATTGCCGTGATGCAGCTCCTACATTTTTAGAAATACTAAAGAGAAATCCCAATCTTATAAAGTCAGGAGGCGTTGTACATTCTTTTGATGGAAGTTTAAAAGAGGCCATAGACATAATTAACTTGGGTTTTTATATTGGTATTAATGGATGGTAAGCAAAACACTAAATAATAAATAATTTTTTAAGTATCATAAAATATTTTGTTGATTTGTCTATTACACTTTTTTTTAAACATGGTATTCACTTAAACAAAATGTGTTTAAAATGTTTAAATTTCTATACTATTTAATCAAATTAAGTTTAATCGTTAACTGTTGTTGATTATACAAATTAGAAAAAGGATATTATCATAGAAGAATATTGTAGGTTAGAAAAAAACATTCTGAAATATTTTTATAAATCTTCATACTTAACATAATATTATATACATATTAATGTTATTAATGCTTAAAATAATGATAAATTTAATATTTAATAGTTCATTGCGGACAGACGATAATTTAAAAACAGTATCAGAATTGCCTATAAATCGTTTGATGCTGGAAACAGATTGCCCATGGTGTGAAGTAAAACAAACACACCCATCTTATTCTTACGTACAAACCAAATTTAATTCGGTGAAAAAAGAAAAATTTATTGATGGTTCTATGGTCAAAGGAAGAAATGAACCATCAACCATTAGGTAAGTTCTAACAATTAAAAATTGATTTAAATATTCATCAATTATTGGAATATACTTATACATACTTCTTTATTTTATAATATTTCATAAGGATTGTCTTGTATTTTATGCTACTTACGTGTAAGATATTTCCTATTGAAAATTTCTTATGATTTTATTTATGTTCAGAAATTCATAATGCATAGTTCTTGATCAATTGAATTGTATGTTGTTTTTTTCAGGCAAGTCTTTGAAGTATTAGCTTCATTGAAAAAAGAAGACCCTGTATGTTTAGGAAACCAAATATATCAAAATACTATGGAACTATTCTTTAAAGATAAATAGTTTTTAATTATCTTATTATTATTTAAATTATGATTATGTTTCTTAGAAAATATAAATTTGTTTAATAATTTTGTTGCTTATTAATTATTCATATTGATAATTATAAAAAAAAATTATCAATTGTTTCAGAAAATAAATTTTACATGACTTTAGATTCTGAGCATGTTGTATTGATTTGACAATGATTGTGTTTTTTTTTAAATTTTTTCATTTTTTTTTGTACATGATGAATAGTCGAAATAATTCTTTGATTTTCAACTTCGATAACTTTTCTGGTGGGAAAGTGAATCTATAGTTGATACATTTGAGAGGTCAAGATTCCTTGTAGTTTTCAAAAGGATCAGGATATATTCCATGTATATATATATTTTGCTATTAAAGTCTTGGTATAATTAATATAATATATATTTTTCTATTTTTCATCAGTTCTAGAATGATAAACATTGATTAATAATAATCCCAAAATTATAAGCTAATTAAAATATTTAAAAAAAAAATCATGTATTATATAGAATATATATATTTTGTATGCAGAACATTGTATTAAATATTTAATGTACATGCATAATTTTTATTACACCCGACTTGACCTACCTTACCACACCGTAGTTGTAACAATTGAAGCAATGAAGTACTTGTCTTAAACAATTTGTTTGTGGAGGGTTTGAGAAATTCACACTACATACAAATAACAGATACATACATGCTATATAGGTAAATTAATATATTTTATTATTGATAAATAACTAAGTACATATATATGTTTTTAAATTTCGTCAATGAATAGAAGATATTAGTTCTACTTCTATGTCCATATCGAACATAATATTGTATAGTATATATATATATATATATATCTTAATAAAATATTTATTGGTTATACAATATAATACTATATGCTTAATAATTACCTTATTTTAATACATCATAACAAAAGGATCTTAAAAATGAACATTAACAGCTATAAGACTTTTTATATTTATACATTTTATAATGTAATGTAATAAAAAATAAACAATTAAAATTGTTGTTAAATTATTTTTACCCTTATACTATACACAATGTAATATTATAACTGTGGTGTTAAAGATTTCTTTAGAAACTTTGATTAATTCATAGAGTAAAAATATTTTAAATATCTAGTAAAATAAAAATAATAATAGTAAGGATGAATTACAAATAATAGTTTTCATTATTACTAAAGATCACTAACTTTTAGTGTTACAAATAGATCAGTGAAGGGTTTTGGGGGTATAATTTTAAATGATAAATCAAATGGCAACTATTATATAATTAAACTATTTAAATGGATGGGTAATCGGTGTACAACCTTGATATTTATTTAGACTATTGGTATTAATAATTTTTGATGAATCATTTGATACTTCATGAAAATAAATAAGTAATAACCAATAAATAAATTGTGTCATTAATTAGTGATTACCTCTATTGGCTATTACCAAGAGTAATTATTATTTTATAAACTAAATGATTTGAAAAAATACTATCTACATAAAACGTTGCTGTCCTTATTGATTTATATAATATATATTATAATTTACTGTATAATTAATAAATGACAAAATAAACTAAACTCTATCATTAAATATATACCTAATAAAAACCACAAACATAACACTTATGAAAAATAATATTTAATAGTTAAAAATATTATTGATATAATTATTGCAGATCAGATATTTGGAGTGGGCACAATGCCTATATTATGTATTTCTACCTTACAAAGTTCAAACCAAATTTGTGTTTAGCAAAGCCCATTTTGTGTTAGTTTTAATATTATTGATTGTAAAGTTAAGAATATTATTTTTTTTCACTCTTATTGCATTGGTTTTTTTTTTTTTTATATTTTAATCTTATAGCAAATCATGCACATTACTATAACTTGATTTAAAATTAATATATTAAAATATAAAAAAATYACTGACTTGAGAAAACAGATAACATAGGTAAGCATATAACATTAAATTTTATAACTTACAATTTACAGCAATATAAAACACAAATGGATTCTGCTGAAGACAAATTTACCAAGTTGTACACTTGTAAGAAAAAGAAAATTACTTGCGGACATCATGTCCTCTTAAAATGAAAACATCTATCTACACTTTAGGTCTTTAGCTAGTAAAACTTTGTGCATAATATAAATATGTGAATATAATCATTGATATAATATAACAGAGTGATATATCAATAAGCGTGCTCACCCCAGTTTTTATTTTTGTAAGAAATTAATTTATTAAATTCTGATTTTTCGGAAATTTTATTAGACTATACTCAAGGAAAATATTAGATTTTTTTTATACAATTTAAGGAGTAGATATTCTATGGACTTTATTTTGTTCAAATGAGAATCACCTCTAACCTAACCTGTAAATTCTTTGTTTTTAAATGTCGATTTATCTAAATCGAAATCTGAACTTTAACATAATGTAGTTAGGTACTGGTACTATAGATAATAAATACCTAGGGTTGGGAGATATGGGGGTTATGATTATTTGAATATAAATAATATAATATTAATTAATAATAATATATAACCATTTTATAATTTGTGTAATAACAAGAAGGTAGGTAGGTAAAGTAGGTACCTACTAGATTAATTATTAAATATCACATCCATTGCATACTTTTGTATATGTTTTTTAACTACCTACTATTATCCTCTGTATATAATATACTTTAGTAACTTAGATTTATGAGGTTTGGAAAAAAAGTTGAAATCATTACAGGGCACTCCTTCTATTATATAAAAATGATTTGAAAATATGGTTACTATGTTGATGAGGTTCTTTAAATTTCTAAAAATCTGAATTTGAATAAATGTATCATTAAAGTGTAAAACAATGGGGGTGAACATGCTTGGTGAATAACTCTATGTATATAATATGTAGGTACCTATATTGTACATGATATTTAAGTAGCATACATGAAATTTGGGGGAGGGTGTTGAATTCCTCTTGGATCTTTTTCACTATACAAAAAAGTGGAAATGTTTTTATAAAACATAAATATTTTTTTATAAGACCTACCTGCCACACACATACAAACTATAAATTAGAAATGTCTGTGTGTGTCACTGTATTATCATAGGAATATTATTTTAAATTTTTGCCTATAGAAATATATGTAGATTAAACCTAATAATTTATATTTTATAGGTGTTGAAGATTTGGTACCTATCAGTTTAATAAAATATTTTGATATTATTTGAATAATATCATTATTCTATGACGAGAAAATATAKCGTAACTTTAATATTATAGACATAACATCGTAAAATATCATATCATAACATGTCTATCGTATCGTATTGTAAGTAGACATTAGATAAACCTTAAAATATAACTAAAAATACATGTTTCTGTACAGCTGTAAGTACTAAATACTGATAACTTTATCTGTCATTAAAATATTAAAATATGTATCTATTTTCCAYGGTGTTCAAATGTTGAGACACCTATATTAATAATCTATAATAGGTAACAACTACGTACCTAAAAATTGTAATTGACATTTTTGAAATATTTGATATTACAATTTATTATTCTACTACGAGTAGGATAATGAATCTAATACCTATATAATATATTAGGTATTATACCTGTTTAGGCATAAGCAAAAATAAGAAAAAAAACAATAAATCATTTTTAAAAGAATAATATTAAAATGTATAATAACTAATAACAAATGCGTACTTTACTAATACCCAATCTATTTTTATAGTTTATTCTGTATTGAGTATAATAATTAGTCATGAGGCATATTAATTACCTTAACGCAGTGGTGGTTTTGAAGAGCTAGTGATGGGTCTTTTATCGAGGGACGAGGAGTGTGTTTAGGTGTTCTCCTTGGTTTTTTTTCTAACAATAAATTATTTATACTTTGTACATTTTGTACATATCATAAAAATTAAAACTATGTATTGCCAAGCCTAAAATATTTTTGAGAAACAAGAAATCATTGCTGCTAGGTGTTTAAAAATTATATGGTACCTAGTACCTACATATTTGAACTCTATTTATACGACAAATAGTTGATTTAACGGTCATTATAAAAAAGCGAAAAGGTTTTGTAAATGGAGCCACAGAACAACTCACGAAACATAATTAGCACGAGGCCCTTATGAGTTATGAATTTATGATTAATTATCATTTTAATAAAATTCTATCCTAAATCCACCACTGCATATAACAAAAAACAAAATTGTACATGGTAAGTATATACTTAGTGAATCCGAATCGTCTGCTACACATACCTACGCACTTTTAGGTATAATACATACCTGTTTATACATAAAATATTTATGGTAACTCAAATTTCTTTCCGAATGCATTCGCTGATACTTAATTATAGTGTAAAATAAAGTAGTTAAATACTTTCGAGTGATGACGCTCGAATTTCTAAAAATATACCTACCTAGACTACTGATGAAATATATATATATATATATATTTAATATTTATAAAGATATTAGAGTGTATAGATGATAGTAGATTACCTACACCTATATAATATGTGTAAGGTAAGATAGAGAAAAAATGAAAAATAAGATCGATTGCATATTTCTTAAGGAATACTACGCAAATAATGTTAAAAAACATTCAAGAGTACCTATAATAATAGAAAAGAAACAAAGCATATCTCAAGTAAATAAATCATATATATAATATAAAATTCATACCTGTTATGTATTAATGTAAAATCTGTTATTGAAAAATCTGTTATTGCACGTTTGAAATAATGGTCCCAATCTCATTTGCGTAGTACTCCCGTCAGACTTAAGATTAACTCAGTGATTGTATTATTTTTTAAGTCATAAAATTAACCCTTTTTATTTTCGATTTTCAGGGCCTAAATGAAAAATGACCCTCGAAGTTTTGCTCTCAACGGATGCGTGTATTGAGTGTGGTGTATAACGTTCACTGGTTGTTTTGTTAGGTTTGCTAACATGCACGCCAACGACAATTCCAAAACTCGGACAACACTCTGCACTATTAGCCAGCACCATGGTTGGTCATATGAGTAAACTCCTTAAAAAT